AATTGCCTGTCAAATGAATACAATCGTGTGGATTTAAGAATATTATATCTCACGACAACTTACGAACATTAGAACATATCTAGAAAACGTTTTTACCATTATTTTTTACCATATTTTATTTTCTAATGTTTCCCCATTTTTTTTATACTAGAATGTAAGATTGAAAAAATTTTGTTAAAAATGTGCAATTTCTTACCTTAACAGTTTCGTCCAAACACATTAAAATGCGCACATTAATGACATCAAAATCCGCTTTTAAATCCACTTTATAGCGTTATTATTTAAAAACAACATAAATAAGAGCCAAATTAATTTATATATCCTCACAAAATTGTAAACAAGTTATTTTAATAACTTGTTTTGATAGTGTTTTGTTTAAAGAATTCTTTTAAATATTCTATGTTTTAAACACTGTAATGACCTGTTATAGTTATTATACCTTTTCCCTCAGCCCATGCATTATTCCACTACCTACCGTATTAGAAGGAGGCTTCGTTGGCTTTTGGTGAGATGAGGAGGCGATGACTACTAAAATAGTTATTACAGCTGCAAACTTCATTGTAAATGTTAAATCCTAAAATAAAAATTAAACATCGTTATTTATTAAGCTGAAACAACAGTAGTTAATTTAATTTCAGTATAAATCAGTTTTAATATCCACTGGAATGTACTGCCTATGCATTAATGGAGTTGTTGTCTTATAGTCGAATTTGCTGTGCCACATGTAATTGATAGGGTTGTATCGAGGGTAATAAAATGAGGACATTGCCAAATGTCGTTTCATGTCGACGATGCGTCTTATCTCCTCGGTGTGTGAGTGTGGCATGCCGACGGTTTTCGCATGCAAGTTAGGGACAAGCTAGGGACTTGATCACCACCTGCGATCATGGAACCTGTCACTGTGAGTACTGTGACTGCTATCGTCGACGCTTTATAATCAGAGCGCAACCAGCTAAGGACTTTTTGGATTTGTACGCGTCCCTAGCCTTTCAGAAAGATAATCACACTGTCTTTCCTTTTGAACCGTTTCTGGTTCCTTGACACTACCGATGGTCAGTGTCGCATCTTCACCACCTCAAGGATCAATCTTAGGAGCCGATCTCTGGAACAGTCTGCTCTGACCCGAAATTTCTGACGAGACTCGCCTCGTTGGCTACGCCGACGATGTCGCTGCTCTGGTTGAAGATAGAAACGTAGAATAGGCAAATCTAAAACTGATGACCAGTGATGCTCCGATTAAAGAGTATATGCAGAATCACAGCACGTTGCTAGCGGTCGGAAAGACCAAGATCGTGGTCTTAACCAAGAAGAGAATTTCCACCATCTTTCCTTTGAAATTGGGCCAATCCCGTGGTGTTATGATTGTCAGCAAGATGTCTTTCTGTAGGTAGATAAGGTGAACCGTAGAAAAGTACGGTAATAGAGTTACTGCACTAAGTTAGCTCTTGGCAAACGTTAGCAGTCCTCATGTCTGCAAACGTTACCTACTGATGTCTGATGTCCATTTGGGATTATTGTACAGTGGTAACGTGTGGGCTCATGAGCTGAAGAGGTTGAAAGTTCATGCGTCTTTTGTGACTAGTTTTCCTGCGTCGTTCAGCGACGATAAACCAAAGTCACTTCTGCCTACCGCACGGTTCCCTGCAGCTATGATTGTCGCCGGTTTCATCCGCGTTATAATATATCTCGCGTGAGAGTGGTAGGTCTTCTGCAGGAGACCTGAAGTAGGTGGAGAACTGCTGCCAGAGAAGATCGTTACTACAGTTCTTCCGATGGCTGCACAAATGGGACGTCGAGTCTATTGGACATTGGACTGTCAGGCTCTATAAAGAATGTATGGGAGATTTTTTATACATAACTCAATATAGATATGTATACATAAATATAAACATAAGGAAATAAAAATGTATAAAAACTTACTTACAAACTATGCCAGCCACTAAACGATAATTTACATAGTAAGTGAATATTTTTTTCTAATCAGATCCAAACTGTTGAGTATTTTAGTGAAGTATGAAAATCATTGCTTTTATAAGTTTTAATCCAGTAGACCCAAGACAAATAATTACGCACTAGAAATATCTTACCTTAACAGATTCCTATAATGCTGTTTAATTAGGGTAATGTGCCGAACAGATGAGTTCAACTACAACAGTTAATGAGTTAATGAGTATTAGTACAACTACTTATACTCATTAAGTTTGTAAAGGTTGGATGGATGTTAGTTTTTTATGGATATAAAAAAGTTTAATTTATTGCAAGTTTAGACAATGCATCTTTGTATGCCAAGTTTTAACGATAGGTTTTATGATTGTTAAAGAGATTGATTTAATGACATAGTTTTTTGTACTACTAATTAAAATGTTTTCTGATTAATTTTAAATATTTTAACTAACATTTACTTACATTTGATAAACTATGGTGAAATAGTATATTTAAATAATTGTGCACGTGAAAAACCTAAGTTAACGGTTTAGTGAAGAAACCCATAACGCGACTCTTCATCGCCTGTTATGAGAAAAAAATAAGTACAATCCTCTGGATTTTTCTCCCTGCAAAAATAAAAGTTACATTTCACCTATTTGGAATAGTTTAAATTGTAATATTCACGATGCCTGAGTACACCATATCATCATATTTATCAGAATATATAGCTTTTTTTATTTAAATCTATCACGATCGTAGAAAATCCTAACCCGAAGTATTGTAATGAAACGAAATACCTTTAGGATAGTATCCAGGGAGGTGAGGGGGCGGGCTGTGCACTACGTCTTCACCAAAACGAATATTTGTATTTTTGTCCCAGAAATATGTAGTAACTTTATTTACATGGTGAAATTGATAGTTGAAATAGGGATGCATTTTAATTGAGAGATCAAATAATGAGCTTTGGAATACCAACTTTCTTGATTGTACGAATATTGATAAAGTGAATCGTACATAGGGTATGCATGTTAACATGTGTAACATACATTTATTTTTGTCAAAATATGGGTTTAAATATCACAATTTGTGATAGTTAAAACCTTAGTCTTAAGGCTGAGGTTACTTGAATAATAAACGAAATAGCAACTTGATATGAAATATACTAGCCAACCTTTTGAAGCATTTGCCGTGTATTATCCTCACATCCACACACCATACTGTTAAGACTGCGTAGTTTGTGTGTTGATGATTTAGGTATTGGTTCTACTTTCGGAATAAATGTGGGTTTATCATTAACTTCATTGAATGAACTTCATAGAATGTTAAGTTACCCGTACTTACATTTTTATACGTCTACATGAACTCTTTGAACACTTTGTTTGAAGAGATGTTATGGTATACGATTTTTATGTTGATTGTTTTATTTTAATCAGACATCGTTTTAACTGGAAAAGCAAACCCTTGACAACGCCACAACCAAATAAATGTGTAAAAAATAGGGACAATAAGCAATAAGTATGATTGAGATTTTCGTTCACAATCACTGGTGGAAGTTCTTGAACTACTTTTCAGCGTCTATGGAAGTTTCCAGACGTAATAAAGAGATGGGAAAAATGTTATAAGTTTTTCATAGATCGTAGGAATTTTTCAGACTACATCTTTATACACCTTCAGTCGTATAAAAATCTCCCATTCTGTTGTCCATATGTGTATCAGATTTCCATATGTGTATGTGACTGGCTTTTTAGTCATATATATATATGGCTACCAATTTTAAGAATCAGAAATAAAGGCAATAGTTTTTTTATACTTTATTGTTCTCTATGAGCCCACAATGCTTACGTAATTACATTGCAGCAAACTGTTTACGTGCGATGAGATTATTATTTACACATCCTTACAATCCTAAAGATAGGCAATGACGACTTAAGCCAATACGAAGATTTCTTATCCACTAAGAACTCAAGTAAACAAAATTATATACACACACTTACAAGAAATAAAACACATAATACAGTTTAAATCACCGTCATTATACAAATCTGACAAGTTAATTAGGTATTATAATATAGGCATATAATCCTTATGTCAATATAATCTCTGTAAGGGTATAAGTCTCCAGGCACCCTACACATCACGCATGAGGGTTGGATTATTGTATAATCGTGCCAAAGCTGTTACGGTGAAAACCCATTTTATCTGAAAATAGCTGCTGTACCCGTGCTTCATAACGGAAAGATGTACTATACCACTTAATAAAACAATTGGTCAGTAGTTCAGATTTATAAACAAAATACCAAAAATCTTTACAAAAACTATCACCTGAATTGTAGTTGTCCTACTACAAGAAAATCTATCATTAACAATATTTTCATAACTAATACACTTTAATAAATCGAAAACGGAGCCATGGTTGATACAGCAATTGTTCTAGAATCTTTTTTTATATCCATAATTAATAAAATAAAATAAATAATCTATGACAAAGTATTGGAATAAATAGACCTACCACATAGATGCGTAAAATATATTTTTTTTGTGGATCAGCTGTTTAAAATTGTGAAATATACATTTAGCAGTTCTGATTGTTTACATAAAATGTCTACGCAAAGAACACTGTGAATTTTCTCATGCTTCCATGGAGACCAGTTAATATTTAAACACTTTTTGAAACCCTCACCTCAAAACTTTAGACATCCAAGGGGCGTAGCCCGGGGAGCGAGCTGGTCTAGTGGTTAGATTTCGGGACTTTGGACCAAGAGATCCCGGTTTCAAATCCCACCAAGTCACCAATGGATTTTATCTAAGTGATGATGCCGCAACCCCTAGGTCTATCCTGCAGTAATGTGAAAAACAATCCCAGGCTCGTGCCTAGCGTCCTAAAAAAGAGGGCGTAGCCCGAGAGGAACTCAGGGAAGTGAATAGGCCTAATTCCTAGATATGTGGACCATTTTTTGTGCTTAGTTTTGCTGTATCGGTTTAGCATCTTAGTCGTTAAAGCTGCCCAGACAGATATACATACACCACCTAAATTTTATAATAGTATGTAGATAGATAGATACATAGATAAAATCATCTTTATACAAATTCATAATAACACTTTATTTTAATGAGCTTCCTTTGACAACATAATTTGTAAAGTTGTTCAGCCATCTGCTTTTATACTTGATTTTTTGACCGTTCAGGACATGAGAATAGGAGGGAGACATCTAGGAGCGACACCATTTTCGTCAGGTTTCAAAAGGCTTTTCACCTTAGCTTTGTATTCGGGCGTTTCTCCTATTAGTTGACCAATCTTGTCAAACTCGTCAAATGTAATATCTTTGTAGCGTGTTTGGCTATGTATAACCTTTCTAACAACTTGATGATTCTTCTCCCCAACCTCCATTGTTGTATGCTTTTCTCCTTTTTTAATCAAATCGTCTAACATCTCAAAAATACTCTGTTGCAGCTTTGCTCTAAACTCGCTTAGGACTGCCTGTAAACAAATAAAACAATATAGGATGCAAATTGTTTACAAATATAAGTACAATAACGCTCTTAATAGATAAAAATGTCATTTATCTGTTTACTTGAGATGTCAGGATTATCATTAACCAGGAGAAAAAGTCTAAAATATTTCAAAAATAATTTTTTTTACATATTATCTTATTTCGATCGTTAAGAAAATCACAATCGTTTCAGCTGTGTTTGGAACGTAGTTATTGCCTGTCAAATGAATACAATCGTGTGGATTTAAGAATATTATATCTCACGACAACTTACGAACATTAGAACATATCTAGGAAACGTTTTTGCCATTATTTTTTACCATATTTTAGTTTCTACTGTTTCTCCATTTTTTTATACTAGAATGTAAGACTGAAAAGATGTTTTTAAAAATGTGCAATTTCTTACCTTAACAGTTTCGTCTAAACACATTAAAATGCGCACATTAATAACATTAAAATACGTTTTTAAATGTACTTTATATCGTTATTATTTCAGAACAACATAAATAAGAGTCATATTAATTTATATATCCTCACAAAATTGTAAACAAGTTATTTTATTAACTTGTTTAGATAGTGTTTTGTTTAAAGAGTTTTTTTAATATTCCATGTTTTTAACACTGCAATGACCTGTTATAGATATGATACCTTTTTCCCTCAGCCCTTGCATTATTCTACTACCTACCGTATTAGTAGGAGGCTTCGTTGGCTTTTGGTGAGATGAGGAGGCGATGACTACTAAAATAATTATTACAGCTGCAAACTTCATTGTAAATGTTAAATCCTAAAATAAAATAAAAAAAACATTGTTATTTATTCGGCTGTAACAGCAGTAATTAATTTAACTTCAGTATATATCATTTTTAATATCCACTGAAATTTGGCAATGTGAAACTTGTATTGCCTATGCATAAATAGACTTGTTCAACAACTCTATTTTTCTGGTCGCATTTTCTGGGCCACATTCCTGTTATTTAGTATTTATTTATTTTACCTTCCAATGTTCGAGAACCAATTTACAATGGTATACAATGATGACTTAATCTAACTTAAACATTAGATACAAATATAAGTTTTTTTTTATGACATGCAGTACAAATAAATAAAAATCAGTTACAGGATATGAGAACAAATGGGCTTTTGTATCGAGGGTAAAAACTGGTGCGATGTCGACGATGCGTCTCATCTCCTTGATGTGTTCCATTCCGACGAGTTTCGCCTGCAGTAGGAAGATGTCAGTTTACCGGAGGACACCCGAGTACATTCTGACAATCAATACCGCGTTCCAGAAACAGGCCAGAAACCAATGTCGGAGGAGATCTCCACAGTTCCATCAACTAAAGTAAGGCTAAGTATTTGAAGCAATTGTGTCAGTGACAATGGACCTTTTCGGATGGACTACAAGAAGCACAAGTTAGGGACTTGACCACCGCCTGCAGTTATGTAATCTGTCACTATGACTGCTGTCGTCGACGCTTTGTTATCAGAGGCGACAAGCCAAAGACTTCGTGGATTTGAGCGCGTTCCCAGACTTTCAGAAAGATAATAAAATCACACTGTCCTCCCTTTTTGGACCGTTTCTGGTTCTTGACACCACCGATAGTCAGTGTCGCATCACCGTCACTTCTGGGATCAAACTTGGAACCCGATCTCTGGAACAGTCTGCTATGACCCGAAATGTCTAACGAGACTCACCTCGTTGGCTACGCCGACGATGTCGCTCCTCTTGTTGAAGATAGAAACGTAGAATAGGCAAATCTAAAACTGAGGACTAGTGATGCTCCGAGTCAAAGTGTAAATGCGGAATCACAGCACGTTGCTAGCGGTCGGAACGACCAAGATCGTGGTCTTAACCAAGAAGAGAATTTCCACCATCTTTCCTGTGAAATTGGGCCAATACTGTGGTGTTATGATTGTCAGCAAGATGTCTTTCTGTGAGTAGATAAAGTGAACCGTAGAAAAAGCCGGTAAGAGAGTTGCCGCCCTAAGTAGGCATATGGCAAACATTGGCAGTCCTCATGCCTGCAAACGTTATCTACTGATATCTGATGTCCGTTTGGTGTTATTGTACAGTGGGAACGTCTGGGCTCAGGAGCTGAAGAGATTGACTCGAAAAGTTCATTCGTCTTGTGTGACTAGTTTACCTGTGACGTTCAGCGACGATAAACCAAAGTCACTTCTGCCTACCGCACGGTTTCCTGCAGCTATGATCGTCGCCGCTGTTATCCACGTTATAATATATCTCGCGCGGGACTGGTAGGTGATCTTCTGCGGGAGACCTGAAGTAGGTAGACTGCTGTCAGAGAAGAACGTTACTACAGTTTCGACCGATGGCAGCGCGAATGGGACGTCGAGTCTATTGGACATTGGACTGCCAGGCTCTACAAAGAATGTATGGGACATTTTTTATACATAGCTCAATATAGATATGTATACATAAATATAAACGTAAGGAAATAAAAATTTATAAACACTTACTTACAAACTATGCCAGCCACTAAACGATAATATACATAGTAAGTGAATTATTTTTTTCAAATCAGATCCAAACTGTTGAGTATTATAGTGAAGTATGAAAATTATTGCTTTTATAAGTTTTAATCCAGTAGACCCAAGATAAATAATTACGCACTAAAAAAATCTTACCTAAACAGATTCCTATAGAGCTGTTTAATTAGGGTAATGTGCCGAGCAGATAAGTTTAACTACAACAGGTAATGAGTTAATGAGTATAAGTACAACTACTTATACTCATTAAGTTTGTAAAGGTTGGATGGATGTTAATTTTTGATGGAAATAAAAAAGTTAAATTTATGGCAAGTTTAGACAATGCCCCTTTGTATACAAAGTTTTAACTATAGGTTTTATGACTGTAAGAGATAGAAAAGATGGCATAGTTTATTGCACTATTAATTATTATATTTTCCCATTAAATTTTAATATTTTAATTAACTTATGATATAATATACTTATACTTATGAAAATCATTGCTTTTATATTTTTTTTATCCAGTAAACCAAAGAAAAATAATTACACACTAGAAATATCTTACCTAAAAAATGCCAGTATAGCTGTTCAATTAGGGTAATGTGCTGAACAGATAAGTGTCTAAAACTACTTATGGGCTACTCATTAAGTTTGTAAAGGTTGGATAGATATTAATTTTTGATGGAAATAAAAAAGATAAATTTATAGGTAGCAAGTTAAACAATGCCTCTTTGCATGCCAAGATTTAACGATAGGTTTTATAACAGTTATATAGATAGATAAGATGACATAGTTTATTGTACTACTAATTACAATATTTTCCCATTAATTTTAAATATTTTACTAACATTTCCTTTTATTTGATCAAATATGGTTAAACATATTTAAATAATTGTGCACGTGTAAAACCTAAGTTAACGGTTTAGTGAAGAAACCCATAACGCGACTCTTTATCGCCTGTTATGTGAAAAAAAGAAGTACAATCCTCTGGATTTTTCTCCCTTCAAAAATAAAAGTAAATTCACCTATTAGGAATAGTTTAAATTGTAATATTCACGATGCCTGAGTACACCATATCATCATATTTATCAGAATATATAGCTTTTTTTATTTAAATCTAATCTCTTTCGGTATGTGAGCTAAAACCAATCTTAAGCCCTGCTGAGCGGTTAGATTTCTGATGAACATGATTATCCATGTTTAGCATGGATAACTTCTTTTTAGCATGGGTTTTATAATAAGGTGACGAACCTGAAGGACTTAAGTTCAAAGATTCAAATGGATACAACAGAGCCTTTTTCGTCCCTCGGTAAAGAACCGAACCAGAACTTACATACTCGTTTCCGGTTGGTTACAAATGTGACACAACATAACCATTCTTTGTTGTACAGTAGTAAATGTTTTGGCACAATATGGCTCTTAAATAACATTTGTTTTTATTGAGTTAATTGATTAATGTGTCACTGAAAGCATTACGTTGGATATGAGGATGTTTTAGTCACAATAGAAAGGTTTTTTTCTAGCTGCGATAGATAAGCTGTAAGTGTGCATTCATGAGACGTTAGTGTCTAAGGTTTATAAATGTCTGAGACATTGTAGTTGTCTGTAAAGCAAAGGTTGTTGCTGTGAATTGATTTTTGTCCACGAAACTGGCAAAAAGAGTTAGCCCTTTCCGCGTAAAAATATGGCCTAGCGCTATGTGCGCGCAAATACATATTGTACAAAATACTGAAGATTACACACTGAAGGGATTTCCACATCTTTCAGGACCTCTAATGAAGTATGAAATATAATTTTATTTCGAAACTGAGGTATTTTGAATGGACTACCTCATATGCAATGACTTTCTACTCCTCACCTATATACCTATAAGCTGTTCCGTTGACAATTCCTCTTGGATGTTGTAGACGTGTGTTGTGGTTTGTTCCTAGATAACAAATGGCTAAGACAAAAGAAAAGCTTTGTTGTTTTACGGTGCTGACAAAAATTACTTCTGGTAACTACAGCTATAGCTCTTACAATTACGGCATCGTAGCAAACGAGTATTAAGCAAATGATGGCAAAAATTCGTGTCAATTATGTTGGCATCTAGTTCCCGGTAGCATCGAGAAGAGTATTTGGCATTTTTGCAGCTTCCTGAAAGGAGTAGCAAAACGTCTTAACCACTGTCCGAAGGCATGAGACTTGTGCCTCTAATGTAGGAAGTAGTCCTTGCAGATAATATCGTTTGATGTATTGGAGGGATGGTGGTGAGCTTTCGTCCAATGCATTTGGTTTTATTCTGGACGTCCAATTGGCAGTTAAATCATTCAGTTTTCAGAGACGAAGTAAACTGGTCGTCATGAAAAAAGTAAAATCTAAGTAAGCAAAAAAATATATAAAATTAAAATAAAACAAAGTTTTTGTGTATATAATTTACCTTATCTATAAACCATTCGATTGAATACCTTAAATCAACATTTGAAGTTAACACTAGTAAAACCCGTCAAAATTGACAGTTATTGTTGAGGTTTCAAGCAATATTTAACTATAAATCGTTGATAAATGTCTCCATTTTTTAAACAATTTTTGGTTGTTTTGTTCAGCAGCGTGCTTAAGGTACGCCCAATCTTAATAATCAATAACTCAAAAGAAAACCGGTATTTTACTGGAAGTTCTTAGACCAAAACATATACGGTAATGTAATCAGAACTGGTAAAAACCATATTTAGTGGAAGTGAGAATTTGGATCATGGCGTCGTATTATAATCCAGCTACTTGGAGGACACGCATTTTGGACATTTATTGGCATAATCTGTTGATGCGATACTTCAATATGCGATAGTATTACGACTATAGGCAGTACTATCCTGATAGACCAATTCGTAATTTACAAAGCAACAATTTTATTCAAATTCCATTATAAACTGTTAGCTTAGCTGTATGGGTTATTTTTTAACTGTTTTGTCAAAGGAACATGTTGCTAACAAGACTAAAGGTCGCGCCATTCATCCTACACTCATCTCCATTCATACCTTCGCACGGTCTCTATTTCAGCTAAAAGCGTTTAGTAGTATATATTCATTAATTTATCTTTTAAAGCATAAAACATAAATAAATAATAATGAGTGATGGAGATCTGTGCGTGCATACCTTTAATGTAAGATCAAAATTATGAACATTGGTCTGGCAGAAGAGCCAAACAAACTCGTAAATAAAAACAAAATTAATATTCCACAACAGTACAGGGAGGAAGAATCTTTTTTGGATAACTCGTAATTTTATGTGTGATAATTGAATGCCGATGCTTGATGGAAAGTCTGTGCGTGAATACCTTTGATTTAAGACCAAAACTCTTTAAATTATTCTAGTAGAAGAACCAAACCGCCTCGGAAAAGTGAAATAACACTTTACGAATGAAATGTGGAACTATTTTTTTTTCTGAATATATAAAGCTAGTTTGGAACGTGGCATTTTGAGTAACCTGCAAGCCCTACCTTAACGCAGCATACCTACTTAAATGAAAGGTCATGTGCGGGTTGCACGTGAGTTCGATATGTGTTCGTGTTCGGTTACACGAGTGTTCTAAGCGTCAAGTGCGGGTTGCACGTGAGTTCGATATGTGTTTGTGTTCGGTTACACGAGTGTTCTTTGCGTCATGTGCGGGTTGCACGTGAGTTCGATATGTGTTCGTGTGGGTTACACGAGTGTTCTATGGTCATGTGCGGGTTGCACGTGAGTTCGATATGTGTTCGTGTTGGGTTACACGAGTGTTCTATGCGTCATGTGCGGGTTGCACGTGAGTTCGATATGTGTTCGTGTGGGTTACACGAGTGTTCTATGGTCATGTGCGGGTTGCACGTGAGTTCGATATGTGTTCGTGTGGGTTACACGAGTGTTCTATGGTCATGTGCGGGTTGCACGTGAGTTCGATATGTGTTCGTGTTGGGTTACACAAGTGTTCTATGCGTCATGTGCGGGTTGCACGTGTGTTCGATATGTGTTCGTGTTTGGTTACACGAGTGTTCTATGCGTCATGTGCGGGTTGCATGTGAGTTTGATATGTGTTCCTTGAGTATGTGAGTATGTGAGTATGTGTCCTTGAGTGTTAAATCTGCACATAAATGTAATGGAAGGGGTCGAATATTGTAAAGAGGAAGTGTTTGGCAATGTTGTGTGAGTAGGCTGGTAGTGTTGTTAAACAATAACTTGTTGCACTGGCCTACTTAAAGCAACAGCCTTCAGTAGATCAGCACAACAAGTTATTGTTTAACAACACTACCAGCCTACTCACACAACATTGCCAAACACTTCCTCTTTACAATATTCGACCCCTTCCATTACATTTATGTGCAACTTTTCTGGAAGTACCATTTTATTTAAGAAAACTCCCCCCCCCCAAGAGCACGAAGCTTAATTATAGGGTCATATTCAATCACGTGATATAAAGTATTAAATGTATGTCAGCTTTTTTGTTTTGATTTATGATTTCTTAATATTTTTATGAGTTAACCTTTTATGATCTTTTATACGTTTTCTATGTTAACAATAAGATAATGTGATACGTTTGATTCTGCTGATTTTACATACATAAAAACTATACCTTAATTAACATTAACAATAAGTATGATTGAGATTTTCGTTCACAATCAATGGTGTATGTGTAAATGTTATGTAAAAAAAAAATTAAAATTAAAACACCATGTAGAAACGACAAAAAATCCAAATTCTCTTATGGGTTCTTACATCGTAACAAAGCACGGGCTGAGCAACTAATATAGAGGGTGTCCCCGAACACTCCACTGATATTGTAGGGCATTGCTCCTGAGTAAGAAACACGTCTAAATAATATATTAACATTGTCTGTAAGTCCTTAATTACTCACACAGCCACCATTTTGTTTTACACTTATTATAAAAATAAAAATAAAATGGTTAAAAATACGAAATTGAAACTCTGCACAAACAGTTGACAATTAGACAAAGATACAAAAAATTATGAAATTTTACAGGAATAATCTTTTTAAGGAAATGTTATTACAAATCAATTGATTACTTATTTTTTTAGATATGACGAATATTAACTGAGATATGGCAGCTTTACGGTTGCATGCATTGCAACTTTTTAGGTAAAAAAAATGAAGGCTGTGTGAGTAACTAAGGACTTCCGGGCAATTTAAATATGCTATTTAGATATGTTTCTTACTCAGGAACAATGCCCAAAAATATTAGTAGAGAGTTCCGAGACACCCGGTTTATTATTTAATGTAATTTAGTAAATATTGTATAAGGAATGCAAACTTTTAAGAAAACCGTAAGCCGCATTCTTGAATGTAGGTTTTGATGAGGGATTTCTCTAAAAACCCATAAATGCTGCTAAAAAAAGTTTATTTAACATCAATTATATTGCATAAATGGTACAAAATGATATAACATATCCTCTGCACGCATTAAGAAAAAAACATAAGAGGAGGACATCTAGAAGCAATATCGTCAGTTTCACCAGGTTTCAAGAGCGTTTTCACCCTAGCTTTGTATTCAGGAGACTCTGCTATCTCTTGACTAAAACTTCTTAATTCTTCCAATGAAATATCTTTGTTGGTATAGTTCTGTAAAGCCTGTGTGCCTACTTCGTGAACTTTCCTCTCTACCTCCCTCAATGTGAATTTTTCTCCTTTCTTATTTAAATCATCTAGCATCTCAACTATACTTTTTAGCACCTTTGTTCTAAATTC